CAGACCAGGGAGGGTCCATCTAGTCCAGCATCCCGTCTCACACAGGGGCCAACCAGTTCCTCTGGAGGGCCAAGAACAGGGCAGAGAGGTCAAGGCCTTCCACTGATAAGAACCTCAGAAGAGCCCTGCTGGATCAGACCAGGGAGGGTCCCTCTAGTCCAGCATCTTGTCTCACACAGGGGCCAACCAGTTCCTCTGGACATCCAACAACAGAGCAGAACCTCAAAAGAGCCCTGCTGGATCAGACCAGGGAGGGTCCACCTAGTCCAGCTCCTGTCTCACACAGTAACGACTGATATACACCTCTCCTCCATAAATGTCTGTTGAAGAGACAATGGCTTAACTGTGGCCAAGATCAGCAGCAAAGAGGAGGAACCTGGCCTCTTAGCACATGAGTGATGCCTTTTGAGCATGTGCCCAGTGCTTTTGACTCACCACTGATTAATCAAATTCCACCGAGATTCAGAGAGAGAGAGTTTTCCCAGCCCGGGGGCGTGACTTTCTTCTGCTCGGTGCCTCTCGTGCTAGAAATTAAACATTGCAACATGAAATACAGATCTCCAGGTAACTACCGTAATCCTTCCACACAATAACACCGTGAGACACTTACTGCAAAAGACACGAAGACAGGTCCTTAGTCAGGATTTTCTTAGTGGGGGGGGGGCATTTAAATTTCTTAGGGGGCACTGGCTAATCGAATTAGTAATGTCATTAAAGTTGTAGCTGCGGTGGCTCAAGTAGTTAAGACGCTGAACTGCAGGCGGTGGAAGGTTGGTCGTTCGGCAGTTCGAGACCCGAGTGCGCCGCGTGACCGAGTGAGCTCCCATCTCTAGTTCCAGCTCCTGCCAACCTAGCAGTTCGAAAGCAAGAAACTGCAAGTAGATAAATAGGTACCGCTTCGGTGGGAAGGTAACAGCGTTCCGTGCGCCTCGGTGTTTAGTCATGCCGGCCACATGACCACGGAAACGTCTTCGGACAGCGCTGGCTCTTTGGCTTTGAAACGGAGATGAGCACCGTAACCCTAGAGTCGGACTCGACTGGCTTTTGAGCAAGGGAACCTTTACCTTTACCTCATAAGCTTTCCTATACGAAAGCTGATCCCCAGAATTAAACTTTGT